CCGCGTGCGAGTCCGTCGATGCCATCGACGATCCATGAAGAATGTACCGTGGGCGGCAAGGCAGCGCCTTCGAGCTGGAGCGGATGCGCCCCGGCCACGAACGGCACGGGCGCGTCCAATAGGGTCGCCATGTCGACGCCGAGTGGCACCACGGGAATAAAGACATGGTCCCACTGCAGCGGAAAGAGCAAGTGCCGAAGCGTCTCGGCGACGGCCGTGACGAAGAGCGTGTCGACGCCGACAATGAGCACCGCGTGTTCGAGCAAGAGATGGCAGAGCACGCCAAGCAGCGTACCCGGCGGGAGGATCGCAAACGTATACTCGAGAAACTCCATGTCCATCTCGAACGGGACGTCTTGCATCGTGTAGCGCTTCAAGAGCACGTCCGTCTACGCAGCATGGTAAATGTTGAAGAGGAGGATGCAATATGATGGGACGCAGCACGTACATCGCCAATGCTGGCGACGACGCCCGCCCGGCCGCGTACGGGCAGTGGCACCTCGAAAAAGAGGTTGGCCAAGCTCTTCTCGACGCCGACATAGTCGACTTGCCGCGCCTGGTGCACACCAAGGAGCGCGAGCTGCTCGAGGTACTTGAGCAACGGGCCGCAGAAAGGCCTACGCGCCCCATTAATCCATTCCGCCAAGGCCATTGTACATACCACTGGCTCACAAAGCAGAGCGACGTGAGCGTGTGCTGCATATCGCTCGACGACGTGAGCGCGCAAAAGCAGATGGACGTGCCGTAGAGTGCGGCGCCGGTCGCGGTCGTGAGCACAAAGGTGTTGTAGACCGGCGGCGGCAGCAGGCCGCCATGCGCCGGCGACGACGTGCACGGAAACATAAACTGTTGATGGCCATGAGCCGGGATGGCTATGTCGCAAGCGGGGTACCATGAGGATGTTGGGCGGGTACTCGTCGGCCTCGGTCGTCGCCGGGTACTGGAAGGTGAGCGCCTCGTCGCCGGCGCCTAAGCCGTGGCATGAGCAAGCGCCGGCGCAGGAGGCTCCGTACCTGTCTTGGTCGCGACGAAGAAGTACTCGACCAGCCGGCGTCGCGCCGTCGTCAGGTCCGTTGCCATCGTGCTGCGTCGGTGCGCAAATGGATCTTTGTGAAAATCGTGTGAACCACGTGAAAAACGTTTTTCACCGCACTGGCCTTTTCACGCCAAATACCACTTTTGGCCAAATACGGTGTAGATGTTCGTTGCAATGGACAATATTGCATATCGAATAGCACTACAGGCTCGAAAATGCGTAGCAGCGAGTAGTAGACACCACGTAGTATTGTTGATGTAGACCATGTGTGCTCGGTCCCCACAACGACATTGAACGACGCGGACAGCGTCGGTTGCTGACGATCGCAAGTACGAGCGTCAACGACGGGCGTGCAGAAGCCCGAGACCGCGTTCCGGCCAGGCTGCGCCATCAAAGCCTGCTCGTTGGTGCTCAGCATGAATGGGTCAGCGGATTCCGACAAGTCGTCAATCATGCTGTCCATGTAATCTGGAGTCCAACCAGCTTTCTCTCGCAAGGGTCCTGCCTGGAGCTGGCTCATGGTGTTGATGGCACGTTGGAAAGTGATTGGGCAGAGTTTAGGCTTAGCTACTACATCTACTGCAACCTGCTCCTTCTTCTTCTTCTGTAGCTGGAGTTGACTACGGTCTACCGACTCTAGCTGAAGGGCCTTGTTGTCTGGAATTGCTGCGGTGCCTTCCGTTCTGGGCGACGTCTGCGCCTGGTGCTGTTGTCCGTTGGTTAGCCGACGTCGTCGGGTCGTTGGGGCGCGGAGTCGCACGTTGTAGCTGTTCACGACAGGTCTTAGAACCCATCGGTCGTTGCCACTCTCATTCTCACTCACTCTACTCTCTGCGTCTAGAGGTTGCGTGCCCTCACCACATCAAAAACATCAACGCTCAATGCACTCTCGCCCGGCCGAGCTCCGAGAGGAGAGTCATCAAAGCTCCGGTGTATCCGGATCCGGATATGACGGGCACGGGGCGCACAACTTCAACCGGCGCGGCTCTAAACTGTATAAATGCATATCTGGCTCAACCTCTGACATCGCATATATCGCCGACTGCCATGCTGCCACCGCGCTGCCTCCTCGCGCCCGAGCTGCTCGAGGCGATCGCCGTCTTCCTCGCGTCGCCGCTCGAGCTCTTTGCACTTCTCGAGGTGCTGCCCCAAGATGCGCTCTCGTCACCGCTCGCCAGCCTCCGCGCGCTCCACGAGGCCACGACCTCGCACGTCTTCACGTATGCCAAGTACAACGAAGTGTACTTCAATGGCATCTCGCTCTGGCCAACGCTCGCGCTGCCCCGTGCGATCGAAGATCC